GAGGAGTCGGAGTCTACCACCACAAATTCCACTGGCGTGGTCACCACCCCTGCCCGTACCATGAGAGTGATTTTTCCAAGGGGCAAGGGCTGAAACCGTTGAAGCTGATGAGAGGGGGATTTTACGGGTTCTAGATCCTTCTGAGAGAGTCCCATCTTGCGGAAGAGGTGATCGTACATTATCTCGGAGGAGCTGCCCGAGTCCACCAATATCTTCTTAACGTCAAACTTTCCGATCCGCAACGTGATCACCAATGCATTCTCGTGGGGAACGCAACACTGCCGAGATCGACATCCGAAAACTAGATAACATCGGCACATTCCGTGGTTTTTTAGGCGGCCGCTCATCCTTCCTTTCATCTACCCTGACTGCTTGAGCAAACTTTTGTAACTCGGCGCAGAAGGAGTTGTATGTTGGCCTCTCCACTGTGCAGACATGGATAATGTCAATCACGGGTGCTACCTCAGCTGACACCTCAGCTCGTTCCCTCGTTGACCCACCGGGACGGGCCCTGTCGATGAATTCTTCGAGGTGTACGTCTCGCACCAATTGTTCGAGGAAGGATTTATAAGTTTTGCAATCCTCCGTCAAATGGTCGACATCTCTATGATACGAACATCGAAAGGCCGCATTCCTTGTTGACGGGTCTCCAAACATCCTCGAGGGCCACTTGAAATAGGGTCTATTTTTGATCTTGGGGAGTATCCTATGAATGAGCTCGTTGAATACCGTGTTCACTCCCTGGAAGGATAGGCGAGTTGGGGTTGGAATAGGCCCTCCCCTTTGGGACGGCTGCTCCCTATCCCTTTTTCTCGAAATCGCAGCCCTGTTTTCGGGCGCGACGGACTCTTCTTTCACTCGGGCATATTTGTTAATCCAAGCCATCAAGTCTTTCATGTCCGTCGGGGCCTTTTTGGTCAGCGATTTATACAAGTCAGTGTCTCAGGACAGCCCCAGCCTAAATGACGCCGCGGCAAATGCCTCCGAACATGCCTCCACCTCATTCACCTTATCCCAATATCGGACGGCATACTGTCGGAGTGTCTCTCCCCTTTTTCGCCTGAGCGTCAACAGAGCGCCGATATCCTTTGATTTTTTACTACTGGTGATGAATAGAGCTAGGAAGAGCTCTGTCAGTTGTCTCCAGGACCCAACACTCTAGGGAGCAAGGCTCTCATACCACCTCATACTGTTTTTCCCCTAAGTTCATGGAAAAAATTCGGCACAATAGCCTTTGGTCAGTATTGTAGATTGACATATATTGCCTGTACTGCCGAAGGTGGCTCTCGGGGTCGGTTTTTCCATCATAAACTTTGAACCGTGGGACGATAAACTTTTTCGGTATCTCGGCCTCCCTGATAGTCCGGGCGAACGGTGAGATAACTTCGTCGGAGTAGACCGTGGGTTCATGGTTACGCTAACCGATAAAGGGAACCCATGGATCCTTGGTGTCTCTCTCCTCTCGAGGCCTTTGGGGTATGGACTCCGCTTGAGATTCGGCGACTCTGACGCTCTCGGGTATCCCTCGGCGCAGGTCCCACCTGGATAGGCCTGCCTTCTGGCTCGATTTTGACTTTTTCTTAGAGGCCGACAACATTCCTCGGCGGTCATGTCCATCGGGCGAATGCCTTATCCAATACTTCCTGGGGGGCCATCGCCAGGTGGGTCTGGACAGGTTCTGGCTGGGCACCTGGTCCCCGACCCCGCAACTATGCTCGCCCGCGGTTGTCGACTGCTCGAAATCGTCAAGATGTTGCTGAATTTTGGCGTTTTCCCTTTCGAGCTGCTTAATACGCTTGCCCATCCGCTTTTCCACTATCTCCATAATGTCATGGGCCATGAGGTCACGTCCCCCAAGGCCCTGATCTATAGGGAGCGTCCTTTGCGAAGAATGCCCCACCCCGTCTGATTGGCCTAATGAGCTTGGCTCTAGAACCATTGGAAGTCGGATGAGCTCTACGTTCCTAGCCCGTACACCTACTCCCTCACCCTGAGATCTAGTGCTCACCATCAGAGGATCGCTACCGGAAGAAATGCTTTCATTCCCACAGACAACACCAAATTGCACGAGAAGATTCCAGTAATCGTGTAAGGCGACGATCTCCCAATTGGCGAACCTGAAACAATAGGGTCAGAAAAAAATGGGCCAGGCGTGTGCTCGGCTAATCTCCTCCAAAGCTTAAGTCAGTAAACGATCGAAGGGTTTTGCTTAATGGACTTTTTCTGGTTTGAGTTTGCGTACCTTTGTCCATTTTTCTGAGGGATATTTATACCTGAATTAGCAATGATTGCCAAAGATCTTCAGTCCCATCTGAACATCTTTATATCTGACACGTCATTCCTCATGCAGTGAATGTTTCTTATTCACGTCTCCTTCTATTGAATGCTAGGAAAATGGGGTAACAGCTCGGCCATCCGCCGAGCACTTATGCCACTCCCCGAACAACCAAATCCATCAGGTCGACGTCTGACACCGACCAAGCATTGACTTCTCAGCGGAACAGTTCCTCTAGAGATCTGATACGTCGTCTCGGCGCATCAGTCATTAATGTTTAGCCAATATAACAGTAGGCTTAGACTCCCAAAGGGTAGTCGCCTGCAGGTGCGCATTTATTTGCCCTGTAATTATCATTCATTCCGCCATAAATGTGAGCTCACATCGCATTAAATACGACGTCAGCTATCGTACTCGGCCGCTCCGTGTCACCATACCTCAGCTTATCTCCTCGGCATCTTTTGGTCATCCCAACGGCTTCGTTGTTCCACGTGTCAACTCAGGGGCCGAAGAGCCGCACTGGAGTCCCACCATTTTTGAACACAAATAAATACAATTAACACACAAGTTATCCATTTATCCAACACTAGATCCATTTTCCAAAGTGGCCACGACAAAGGATTTCCGAATCTAATGAATGGTTTGCAAAGAAAAACACATCAAATTATCTAATTTCGCTTGGCATTTGCTTTCTTATTCTGAATAAAAGAACACCCATTGAAAAGCAGAAGCAAAATCACTCAAACAGAAGATTTCCCCAACGTTAAGAAGACAAATGCAAAACCACTCAAACAATTTAAACATATTTTCTAAGATAGCAAAAGCAGAAAAAAAATGGTCATTGGAGCACAAAATCGTACAGATCTATGTACATAAAAAAATCCAGAAAAAAAAAAGGATTTGGGTCTGTAATGTACAGATCTATCTATCTATCTATATATATACACATATACATTTACAAGTAAAGCGGGTATATTACCTTCTTCGTCTTCGGTTGTGATTTTTTTCGTGTGAGGCTTCTTCATCGTCGATCTGTGAGTGGAAGATAGAGAGAGTCGCTGAGAGAGCTTCAGAAAAGAAAGACGTACTGAGAGAGAGAGAGAGAGATACATTACTTACCTTAATAGAAAAGAGAGAGTGGCTGAGATTGGGTTGCAAAGGAGTGACCGAATGAGTTGTGCGAAGAAAAAGAGTGGCTGAGACAATATATATACTCTCTCATATAAAGTCATATTTTGTGGCTAACAAGAGTCGAAGGGGAGACCTCATTTATACAAAAAACGCGTGTTTTTTGTTTTATGTGTTTCCTGGAACAAAAAATTTTATTTTTATTTTTATTTTTTTGGCTTTGTCTCCAATACAACTAAAACAAAACAAAACAAAATCAAAAATAATACACAAACATATTTTTAGACTCTCTGATATTTGAAATATTACATATAGACCCTTTAAGGTTTGTACATGCATAACACTTACACCCCTGTTGTAAATATATCTGTTAATAAATTACACTTAGACTTCCTTAAAGTTTGTGGATATATAATACTTAGACTCTTTAAGTTTAAAATATTATAATTAGATCAAAAATATTCTAATCAAATATAAAATATAAAATATTTTAAATTTTATAACTAAAATTCATGTTCTATTGTATCATTTATTGAAATAAAATAAAAAAAATTCAATTTTTTCTTAAAAAATTATAATTAGTATACAATTATATTGTCTACTATAATTTAATTTAATAGTTTAAGCAACCAAATTAAAATACTAAACTACCCCAAATAAATTTAAAATATGTTGTGTCCATTAAAGTTTGATTCCTTGTTTAATATTTTTGTTTTGATATAATAGACAATATAAATATATACTAATTATGTTTTTTTTTTAACTAAATTTTTATTTTTGATTTTATTTCATAATAGAACATGAATGCAAAATTCTAATAGAACATGAATACTAATTATATTTTTTTTAAGAAAAAAATTAAATTTTTATTTTTAATTTTATTTCAATAAATGATACAATAAAACATGAATTTTGTTTGTAAAATTTAAAATATTTGATATTTTATATTTAATTATAATATTTTTGGTCTAGTTATAATATTTTAAACTTAAAAAGTTTAAGTATTATATACCCACAAATTTTAGGGAAATCTAAGTGTAATTTATTAGTGATATATTTAAAATAGGGGTCTAAGTATTACGCTCATACAAATCTTAAGGGGTCTGTGTGTAATATTTCAAATGTCAAAGAGACTAAGTGATTAAGTGGTAAACCTTAGAGATGTGGATGTAATTCTCCCTAAGTTTTTTTATATTATTCCCTCAATTATTTGAATTATTATATATCACCCAATTACAAAATGTTCATTATCATTTTAGACAAAAAATTACCTAATTGTCAAGCCAAATTAAAAGAAAAAAACATCACATAGTGTAAGGGGGAAAACATTTTGTTAAATTTATAGAAGATGTTAATAATTGGGACGATGTGAAATTAATTACGTTCAAGGTGTAACACGAAAAATATGATAATTGAGATAGTAACGTAAAAAAAAGTAATAGTTGAGGAGATCAAAGTGTTAATTTACCCAGGTATTCTGTTAAAAAAAAATAAAAATTTACCCAAATATATATATATATATATATTTATTTATTTATTTATTTATTGATATTAACTATGTTATCTTCGTGTATAAAATATGGGCCTTATTAGGCAGGTTTTATCAATCCCCAATTTCCAATCTCTCTCGAAATTTCCACTCATTCAATCAAATTTGAGGAGGATCTGTATTGGTTTTCGATCAATCGATGATCAATTTGAGAAGGATCTTTATTGGTTTTTGATTGATCGATCGATCCACTTACATACTCGCTATGATTTCTAGTGAGGTCTCTCGGTGAATTGATTGAATTGAAAAAGATCTGTGTGATTGAATCTGTCTGATTGATTCGCTGCATGAAAGATACAGGGGGAAAGGAAGGGAAACGATCGGAGTAGGAGAGAGAAAAACTGAGCAGACCACACACAACATGTCTGCCATAGTGTGCGGCAAGAGATCATCTTTCTTCGAAGACGACCCTGTTTCTAAGCGGATTCGCTGTTCTTCTTCTTCCCCTGTTCGATTCTCTCCTCCCAGACAATCCATCGGTTCGCCTTCTTCCAATTATTCTGTCAGTTTTCCGTCGGCATCGCTGAATTCATCGGCGCTCGATCATCTCGGTGTACTTTTCCCGGACATGGATAAACAGGTCTAATAATTAATGCGTTTATTCATTTATTTCTTCAATAATGTATAACTTCTGTTGGGGCTTTTGCTTGTATTGCATTTTTTTTACGAGTTGAGAAAATTTTGATGGAAATTGTTGTGATTGTTTTTTTTTTTTTGGGATGAGATTGCTATATATCGTATGCCATTTCCAGAACAATGGGTCTCAGAAATTGTATTTATTTTTCATGGGCATTTTTTAGTTACTTCTGTTTATTGTTTCTGAATTAGAAACGTGCACCATCTCTCCGCTATGGAGACTTTTCACCTTCTTTAGGATTTCTCTGAGGTTATCTCAGGTTTCTGGCTTTTCTGGTGTTGTTAAAGTCCCGGGGGAATTTTTGCACGATAGTTGAAATGATAGTTGAAATGAAAACAGATCTCTCCCACGGTGAGATTTGACCCGTCAGGACGGTGGATCCAGTAACTAGGAATACGTTGAGAGGGCCAAAGGGGGCTTAAGGACTGGTGATGAATTGCTTCTGGTGATGTCGAACCGATTCCAGTGGTTCGTGAGGAATTCCTGAAACACAGAAAACCCGTTAGAAGGGCGTCGGAGTATTTTTTGGCGTATCCCCTTTGACGATCAAGTCAGTTCTTTGAGAGAAGAGAAGGAGAAAACACTATTTGTGGTTCTTGAGAGGAGATTTTTTGTACCTTAATAATGTGTTTCTGAGGGCTATTTATACTTTCAAGACTAAATATTACTGACAATCTAGTCAGTAGGTAATTTTCAGAGATGGGGACGGTGTCCCCCGTACTTTTCATGGGGAATGCTCCCATCTTAATTGCTCGCACTGTTGGGCATTCAATGCTCTTTCTCCAATTTTGAGGAATTGAATGCTCGGATCCCAGAGCATTTAATGCCTCTCCTTTTTGGCTTATCAAGCCATGCTAGGTGTCTTATCAACTGACAATGCATCAAATGCCTGTCTCTGTTAGCCGCATATCAGCAGGGATAGTTTTGTCTTTTTACCACCCATCCTATACTTTATGCCACGCGTCTGACTCTCTTTGTCTGAACGTCTAATTCACCCAGCCATACTGACTTCATCGCGCAGAGTGTCATTATAATTGCCTGCCTAGCTTCGTTTCAATTGTCAGTCACTGGCTTTCTAAGGAACCAATGACTCTGCGATTGATGACATGGTTCCTCGGACCCAAGGGAACTCCTTGGGGCCGATGGAGATACAGGAACCAATCCGTCGGAGCAGAGGGGAGGCTGAAACCGAGGACACATGGACTTGCCAGACCGAGGCAAGGAGAGGCCTTTGGGGCCGATGACACGTGTCATCACACTAGCACCCTTCTGGAAATGTCCCATCAGTCCCCATTTGAGGTTTTAGTAGCCTAAGAAGTTGCTGAATTCAAAGAGTACGCCGTTTCGTTAAAGTCCTCTCCTCAATGAAAGAAAAGACGGTAAATATACCTTATACACAACCAAGTATTGCTCATCTTTTTTCAGTTCTTGTTCTTTTCGTTACAGTGTCCTTATAGCTTCTCCTTGGAAAGTGCGTTTAGCATAAGCACCGGGTTACACCCCTTTCAAACCCCCAAATCTGTTTGCAATTCCCTAGGAGCCTCTCCCCTTTCGTTGTATACACCAAAAACTTTCCTTTAAGCCAAACATTTGGACCGAATCAGTCTAACTTTCTGAAAACCAGTTTACCCAGTTGATTATATAGGTCTAAGAAGCATGGATACGAATACTAGACACGGATATGACATGACACAAACACGGCGGCACGAAATTTTTCAAAAAAGTAGGACACTGACACGTTAGCGATACGTTAAATAATATGTATTATATATATATATATATAATCATGTGATAAAATAAAAATATTATCATAATAATTTTTTAATTCATTATTTTTCTAATTCTAAAAATTTACATCATGATATCATTGCATGAAAAGTATAATATAAGATATATTAATACACATACAATATTAATACCCATAATTCAATAATGAATGACTTCTACAACTTTTACTTTAAAAATATTTCATTTCGTAATACTAATTTTCATCAAATTCTAAGAGTTTCAATTTTGTAATCATAGTTATCAAATCGTGTATCGGAAGGCACGTAAGATACAAATATTGTATCGTATCGTGTATCGTAAGATACGATGCAATTTTAAATAAATAATAAAAAAATATATATACCTTTGAAAAAAAGTCATACACTCATAAAAAATATAGCATTTCATTAATACTCCACCAACTATTCAAGTTATCAACATAATCCACTACTATTACAATGCAAAGTTCACAACCATAGTTCACTAATTCAAACTTTAAACACCAAAGAGACTTCTAATCCAAATTTCTAACATCCATTTTGAACTCAATCTTCAATTTCAATTGAAAATGCATCATCATCATCATCATTGTGATCGGATGCCAACAAGTCTTCACTTCCTTTATCATCTTCAACTTCTTGTATTTGTTCATCCTCATCCTCATCCTCACCCTCATCTTCAAGTTGAACTATTTGCTTTCCTTTTTTCTTGTATAAAGTAAGATTTCTAGGCCCTACAAAGCAACCAATACAAAATATAAAAAAAATAAAATTCAAAGTAATGGAGAAGAAGAAAAAACAACCACTACATTTTAATTACCTCTCTTTCTCTTTTTGCTAGTCCCTTCTTGAACCTCAAAACATTCACCAACATTCATCCAAGTAGTGTCCTCAGGAAGGAGTGCATCTTCTTTTTCAGTGATCCACTCATCATCAGATTCCATATCTGAGAGAGAAATAGGATTATAGGAATCACCCTCTAGTATTCTCTTTTGGTGTCTTGCCTCCAATCAAAGATTGTACTTCACAAACACAAGTGCACTTAATCTTTGTTGCTCTAATCGATTTCTCCTCTTAGAGTGCACCTGGTCAAATGTACTCCAATTCCTCTCACATCCAGTGGCACTACAAGTCAAGCTAAGGACGCGGATAGCAAGTTGTTGCAACTCTGGACAACATGCTCCAAATGATTCCCACCACAAGGCTATAAGAAATTACAATAGAATACTCCATTAACTAACTTAAGCAGTTGCATTCAAATAACTAACTTAAGTTAAGTTACCACTAACCAGGTTGTTTCTTCTTCCTCATTTGGATTGCCATGTCCATTCCAAACATCAAATCAGCATTATGAAAGATATCTAATTGTTTATCAACTTTTTCTCTCATAATAGGACTTGGGCACATTCTCTGAATAGTCTGATATAGTCCCATCTTTATCTCATAGTCCGCACTACCGGTGTAATGAAACCTGAAATAATTATTTTGATTTACAATGATCATTGATCAGCATACAATATATAGATATAAAATGATATAAAAATTGAGAAAATTAAGTCTTACGCGGGATTGAGATAATAGGCAGCTGCATGAAGAGGTCTGTGTAATTGCATGTTCCATCTAGTGTCAACAATAGTCCATATGGGCTCATAGTGCTTCTTCACATTACGAAAATTCTTTTGGATTTGTTCCTTTGCCTTGTCCATTGCCTCATAAATATACCCCATGGCAGGCTTTAGATCCCCATCTACAAGCCTCAACACCTTCACCAATGGCAACACACACTTCAAGCAATACTTGATTGATCCCCAAAAATTTTGGTCAGCTAGTATAATATCCATCACTTTTACACCATCTCCCTTCTTACAATATTGACTTCTCTGCCATTCCTCAGAAGCAAACATTGCTCTAAGCCCAATTTTATTTTCAAATAAACTCCTTAAAGTTAAATATGAGGTGGCAAATCTGGTCACACAAGCTCTCACCAAATCCCTTTTCTTTGTATACTTTCTCATAAGATTTAACACCCAAGAATGTCTATAAATGTAAACTGTGATTTTCCTTGCCTTTGACATTATATCCTTGTGCAGAGGAAGGTCCCCAATATCCGTCAAAATGAGATCTAGACAATGTGCACCGCAAGGAGACCAAAACAACTTTTTCCTCTTTGCCATTAACAACTCCCCAGCTTTTACATAAGCCGATGCACTATCAGTTACAACCTGAACAACATTATCCTCACCAATCTCTTCTACCATTGAATCTAAAAGCTCAAAAAGATTATCCGCATTCTTACAAATACCTGAAGTATCAATACTTTTAAGAAACACACTTCCTCTAGGACTATTCACTAAAAAATTAGTGATAGAGCGATGTTTCCCATCAGTCCATCCATCAGACATAAGAGTACAACCCGTCCTTCTCCACTCTGCTTTATAATTTTTCATCAACCCACCATTAATCAAATTTGTTTCTTTTTTCAAAAAAGAACATCTCACCTCATGATACGATGGAGGTTTCAATCCCTTACCAAACGATGCAACAGATTCTAACATTCTTACAAAATATGGATCCTTTACCAAATTAAAAGGAAGGGCATTAGCATAAAAACATCTACAAATATCCAAGCATACATCTTCCCTACCCTTTTTCTTCAACATAGTATTCAAAGTAATTGTGGTGGTTGGCTGTATTTTATCAGCAGTAGTACTACCCACACTGCCACTACTTTTCGAATCCACAAGACTCATATCTTTGCTAATTGCTCTATCATCCAATAATTGCTTAAAAAATTCAGTTACTTCCTCAGGGCAATGCTTACACGCTGCTACATCTTTGCGATTACTTGCCAAATGATTTTTCATTCTTGAAATGCCTCCCCAATAGACATTTGCACAATGAATGCATTTCAATTTCAACCTTGATCCTTCTACTTTGTCACAATGTTCCCATGTGGGATCATTAGCAAGTTTTTTAGTCATTTCTATATGAAAATTGGATGCAGGTGATGCCACTGTTGCACAAAATTAAAATTAATCAAGATTCAGAAATTTTTATACAAAAAAATTTATATACATTTGGCTTTGTAAATAAATTAATATCATTACATACTGCACAGGACCAACGATCAATGGAGACTGGGAAGAAGAAGAAGAAGAAGAAAAAGAAGGAGTACCT